TGGGCGTCGTCTTAGAGAATAGAAATAAAATAATTTAATCTCCACGCGAAAGGAGTCGCCGTCATAAACTAGTTCACAATTTAATGACTTAAATATTTCTACCTGATTATGACTTAAAAAATATATAAAATCATATATAACTTACATGTCCATGTATACTGGCGGCTTTCCCCGCCATACACTCGATCATCATAGCGATGGTCATCCGCGAGGGGAAGCCGTGTGGGTTGAACAGGATGTCGGGGATGAGACCCGACTCGGAGAAGGGCAGATCCTCGGCGGGCCACAGCTGCGAGCAGATGCCCTTCTGGCCCGCGCGAGACGCGAACTTGTCCCCCACTGTTGGGTTACGCTGGAAAGTTACTAATCTATGACCACATGTTACTTAATCTATGACCATTATGTAGGACTTAATCTATGACCTTTATAATAAATGCTATTTAATCTATGACAATTTCAATTAATCTGTGACTGACATTTTTAATCTATGATCTTAGCGGGAAAAAAATGATTAATTGAGCATTTAATTAATTGATTTATAAAGAATATAAAATAAGTTAAGTTGGAAATACATTTGTAAATAATCTAGGAAGGAATTTTAAATATGCCCTCTTTTATTATCAACAATACAGCCTTGTATGTGCTAGGTTAACTTATTAAGCTAGTAAGGTAACATGTTATGTTATCATATTAGGTTATACTAACATGTTATGTGAACTCTCCCACACAGACGTTAACAGTGGTAGTGCCCGCTTTAACATGTTAGCACTGCAGGCACGCCCCCAGTAATACCACGACCACACAGAAGACAGCCGTCAAATGGAACCAATTCCGTGTTTCGTCTGATGAGTGTGGTGCCGGAGGCCTAATTTAAGTCCCTTCCTCTTTACCACCCTTTTCTTATAAGGAGAGGATAGGAAGGGGAAGTGGATTTGACGGAGGAGGAGATGCATAGGAAGGAGAAATATCCTCTTTATGTGCGTCTCCTCCTTTGTCGGAAGTGGGTAGGCAACGCATCTGCAATTACGGATGTGGGTAGTAGTCGCTTCGCCATTTTGGCGGATTTAGGTGGCCGCTTGCTGGTATGCCACCTTGTTATAAAAAAAAATACCTGTATCCGTAGCATGATGCAGGCCTTCCTCGGCGCGCGGGCTGAGAAGTCCCCGCAGAGACGCACACTATCTACCACCACCTCCTCCTTGCCGTGGTACTTGCTCACCACGAACTGACTCTTCTCACCGTCGTAGAAACTATAAGAATACAAAAAAAAAAAATAAAAACGTACAGACGAATTGAGTACCTCCTTTTGGGAAGTCGGTCAAAAAAGATAGCAGAATATCTTACTAATATTATAAATGCGAAAGTTTAGATGGATGGATGTTAGAGTAAAAAGTCTACATCCATCCATCTAAAAGGCCAAAAGATCCATCTTAGGGCCTAAAAACCCTAAACAGCAGATCTCGATGAAATTTGTCATAGACGTAGAGTATAGTCTGGAACACATAGCGTTGAGATCCCGGAAATAAGAGTTCCCGTGGGATACATTGATTCTGTATTTCTATGTTTTCTTGATAATTCTGCAACGGGTCAACCTATCTAGTTGAAATTTGCCACAGATATAAAACAAAGTCTGGAGCGACACATGATATATTCATCGCCTAAAATATTAGATTCCCGAGGGATACGTTATATGATTTTTTTAGTTTTCGGATGAAGTCGCTGGTAATAGCTAGTGATACTTCTACATACTTTTTTGTGTTTAATATCGAGCCTCGGTGGCTCAGTGTGAAGTCAACCAACCGGCAGTGCAGCGTGGTTGACTATGGCCT